GCACAAAAACACAGCCAAAAACATGTAAAGCTTGAAGCTCAGACTACTGCATGAGCTTCTTTGCCACATTTGTTGCATGTAGGGCAGTCCACTGAAATGAATGGGTGCCCTATGCTGACACACAACAAACTGGTCAAAATGCACACGCACTCATATACATGGTAGGTGTGAATGGGGCCCTAAAGAGACACTGTCACCATGCCCATGCAGGGCACAGTGACAGTGTATTAGTAAAAGCCCCTCTCCCCTGCTTGCTTTCACCCCAGTTATACTCACTTTACCTGCCCTCCCTGCAGCCGGCAAGGGGTTGGCTGTTAGACACTAGGGGGAGCTAAGGGAAACCATAGCGTCCCTCCCCCAGGCAATCACATGACAGTGCCTGGGTCTAGTGGTTGGCTGCTAGACCCAAACACTGTCACTTTGCCTTGAATGGCCAGTGTCTCTTTAAACCCCAAATGACCAACACTCCACTTTCCTGTGTCTTGCATCCTTTGATTCCTCAACAATAGATCCATATATCTCCCTCGCTTGGTTGAAATCACTCTTTGCAGCACGCAGCGCAGGATGGTATTCATCAAACGGTTCTCTAACCCCTCTCCTTCTCTGGGGGAATGGTGGAACTCCAATTCAATGCAAAGCTTAGCTCTATGGATACAGTGAGATAAATTGGTAATCTGGTGGTCACCAGGTACGCTGGAAAAGCCTTACAATCTCTTTCTTATTAGAACTGATGGAAAAAAGTCCTATTTTCACTAGCCAGATGGGTAAAATACCCCATCGAGTATCATGCATGGGCCCCTGGCTATCACTTTTGCTGTCAGTTTTACATATCAGACCCAATATCACTTTGTGCTTTATTCAATCAGAATGTATAAAAAGTTGTAAAGGACAGGTCCAGGTGGTGAGCGCTCTTTCGGGGTGGTTGGATTGGTTTCAATGCTGGTGTGCTGCTCCTGATGTGTGCGGACCGGGGTGTCCGACGTTTGTACTAGAGAGGAAACAAAAAGTACATAGACTCACCATTGAGTAATTGAGCCCACAACTTAATTTACTCAATGGTGAGTCTATGTATTTCATACCAGTCCACTGTACACATTAGATCACTCACCGTGCCTATATTTTATCCAACTGTTGATCTCCACGTCACCGTTTTGGAAGTCCCCACCTGAAGTTGACATATCAAGCATCGCACCACCTCAAAAGAGACGCCCAACTCCCAAAGCTTTGAGCCACCTGATTACATGTGTGTATCATCATCTCACACATTCTTCACCCCTCCGCTCCACCATCATTTATCTGCGCTAGGTCATCGCGCTTCTTCCTCCTTTTTGTATCCAATCAGAATGTTTACATTGTGCTCATGATACATACCACATGTCATATTTGTACATACATAGAATAAGAGTATTTGTCAAACAAAGCCCAGGCATTGCACCCTTCTGTCCCTTTAATATATTATCCTGCCCTGAAAGAGACACTGTGTGTAAATGATGATTGACAGCTTGGTAAGGAAGTCTGTACATACAGCTCTTGGATTGTGTAAAATTCATTACAAGGTCAGATAGGTTTTCCAGGTTTGGAATGGTAAGTTGTCAGTGCAAACCCTCAACTGAAAGGACTGCACTATATACACACCTGCTAGTACACAACTCTTCCAGTTCCTGCAAACCTTGCTTCCAGCTGTCACTGTGAAATCCCAAAGTCCAGCTTAGTGAAAACTTCCCTTTGTCTGCTATACAATATCAGTTATAATTTATAAATCAACAGTCCCTATCTCCATACTTGTTCTAGGTCAGCGATACAAACGGTTTGATTTATAAAACTTCTGCCCAGCCATATGCTGAGTGAATGCCGGTTGGAGGAAAGTACGGCCCACACCGGGTACGGCCCACACCGGGTAACACCATCAGAGGGGTTACACCAAAATGACTGACAGTCATTTATATTCATGAGGCTAAAACCTTTTTTCTCAGTGGGAGGTCATGTGGAAACCCTGGAACAGATATAAGGACAAGAACGTAGATGGAGGACTATGACAAAGGGAGAAACTTAAAGATATTTAAATCTAAAGACTTAAAAGGAGACACTTCAAGCAATATAGAAGTATAAAGGAGAATATCAGATTAAAGGTTTTCATGAATGCAGAGGAGAGGGGTATTAGGGGAGGGGGAGGGGGATAGGGGAGTAAGTGGGGAGGGGGGGTAAATATAGATATATAAAGGAATTATATTAAAGTATGCAGTCATAATGAGCGAGAATAACACTATAAGAGATATAATATGATATCCAGGATGCAAGTGCATTTATAAAGACACGTAGACATGTATAAGGGGGAAATATGCATATGTACAGGGATATATGTAAATGGCTGCTTACTGTTTATATGCTGATATTTATGATAAATCAATAAAAAATGTTATTATTTTTAAAAAAAACTTTTTTCTAAAAAAAAAACGTACTGACCGCTGGCAGTCCAAGCACCAATAACTGCAGAGCAGGTGGACACCCGTCGTGAAAGACTGAAGCGGAGGGGGACCTATGCGGTGTTATGGATGGCAGTGGACTGTCAGCCAGCCATACCTCAGTGCAGGTCAGCGATCGCAGTCTGGACAGAATCACCTCTCTGACTATGGTCCGCCATTTAGGGACACTTGGTGTATGTGAACATGGTATAAGGGTTGAACAGAAGTAATCAGATGGTAAAACGAATAGTACTGGTCAGAGCCGTAGTTAGCTCCTTATGCGCCGGAGGCAAGAACAGAAAATGATGCCTCCCCCAACAAACGTGCAATGTCACCAGACGCTGCACATGCGCGGCATCATGTGACATCATGCGCCCCACCTCCAGGATGGCGGGGGAGAGCTGTCACTTCAGGATGGCCGAGCATCAAATCCTGGCCGAGTGGCTCTCTTTCTCTCCTCACTGCTAGGCCATCCTGAATGACAGCTCCCTCCTCCGCCTTCCTGCTGGCTGCAGCGCTCCATTTCTCATCGTATCCCCACTGCCTCTGCCCATATAGGCGGGGGAGAGCAGATCCGAGGAGAAGCTGGAGCCTGTGCCACCCCTCTTCTCCTGTGCTCACCATGACAACAGGGGCGAGGGGACGCAGGGCTGCGCCCAGGGCCGGATTTCCAAGCAAGGCCGACCAAGGCCCGGCTTTGGGACAGCAGGGTGTAGAGGAGCAGCATGGGTGTGCAATTCCTGTCTCCCGATGGAACCACATTGAGGAACCTGGCCTTGGGGTGGCAGAGAGAATAAATCCGGCCCTGGCTGCGCCCCCTCTCAGCTGCGCCTGAGGCGAGTGCCTCATTCGCCCCATGGTAGCTACAGCCCTGGTACTGGTATTCCACACATGCTTAATCACCTTCATTCCTGCCCAGTTTATTAACATTCAGTAAATGGTGGCCGGTTTCAGTGACCTCTCATAAGTGATAATACACTCTTCAATACTGTACCCTCAATTTACAAAGCTGGCACAGCAAGATAAGCTTCTTGTTTAACTGTTTGCTGTCCGCCCGTTGTAAAAAAAACAAACGGATGGACGGCAAACTTTCATTGTCGGGTCGCCATAAATAAATGGCTTTTATTTTTTCTGTTCGGGCATTCCCCCTAGCGTGCGCGCATGGGCAAAAAAAAACTGTTAAATGCACACAGCCATTACCGGCTGTTAAGGTGACCATACACTGTACAACCATCGCCAGACCCGGATCAAGAGGCATCATGTAAGGTAAGTCCTTACACTAACATGGGGTGGGGGGGGGGACATTTTATCCTTTAATGTCACTTTAAGGGGTTAAGGTACTTGAATCTATTTTTAATAGGGATGCACCGATACCAATACTAGTATCAGTAATGGTGCCGATGCTCAGTATTTGGGTGAGTACTCGTACTCGTCCAAATGCTCCGATGCCTAGCCCGATACTTCCGGTATCAGGAAGCCGAGCAGCACATCATTACATCCCAATGCATTTGTATGTGATTTTTGGGCTCTGTTCACACCAGTCCAGTCCGTTCCAGTGCAGAAGAAAAAAATGCTGCATGTCACATTTTTCCTGCACTGGAACGCACCCGAACGCGTCACAAACGCACCGCACTGCATTGGAACGCAACAGAAGCTATGGCATTCAGCAGGAAGAGATTAATTTGCATAATAACATTACCCCCCAAAAAGAAAAGAAAACGCACTGGAACGCGTCACAAACGCACCGCGCTTGCAGAAACGTGTGCAGATCTGGTCCGGACATGGTGTGACAGGGCCCTGAATGGGACTTCCCGTACTCGGTATTCGGTATCGGCGAGTACTGGAAAAAAAATATCGGTACTCATACTCGAAACCGAAATACTGGTATCGGTGCATCCCTACTTTTTAAGATTTCATTCCTGAGTTATTGTCACTTTAAATATATGAATGCATGTTGATTGACGGGTATTTGAAATACGGCTTCTCTCTAACCATGACAACTATGAAATAGGGTAGGATAAGGGACAAAATAACTTGCACATTCCCTACAAATGAGTATGAATGTATGTATGTATGTATGCATGCGGTAGGGACCTTGCAAGCTCCCTGGGGGCAGGATGTGATTGTCTATAAAGCACTGTGTAAACTGTTATTGCTACATAAATACCTGTAATAAATAAATAGAGATGATACTGTCAGCAGATCTGGATGGAACATGCAGCCAGGAAGGTTTTTATAGTACAGATCAGTCTGTACTGTCTTCAGGGACAATTTGTAGGGACACATCTAAAAGCTGTCCCTGGAAATGAGTACGCAGGGATTGGCAGCATTGCGAAGGTGCACACAAGTCAGCATTAGGACCTGGCAGGATCCCTGTCCCCAGTATGTGAGTCCACACAGGGTGTGTAGAGGAATGAAGTTTCTTCTTTTTCCTTGCTGTGTGTAACACGTGGGGGCAGAAGAAGCCACAGTTTGGGATGAGTTCACAACTTGCTATAGCAGTGGTCCCCCCCCCCCCTCCCCTCCTCTCCACATTCCTCTTCTCGGATGGTGAACTCTGCGCTGGCTGCGCAGCCTCTGCCCCCTTCTCCTGGCACTGCCAAGCCAGATCCAAGGCAGCAGATTGTTGAAGGATGATCCACCAAGCAGGGAGTGCCTGACCCCCCTCTGCTGAGGAATATGCCCGGAGTGGGGAAGCTTTGCTTGTAAAGATAAGATCACCTGCCTGGACTTTGCTATGTTTGTCTACCTGGGACTCTACCTGCACACTCTTCTCTGCTCTGCCTTGGCGCACACTATACCAGAAGCAGGTAAGAGACCTCAGTAACTAACTTCCTCCTTTACTACGGTATCTCACAGGGAACTCAAGTCAGCAGAAAGTCATCTGGGGTGGAGGAGAGATCAGATCTGTCTGTACTATGGAGGGTGGGATATGCAGGTGTGTCATGTCAGGACTGTACAAGAAGTCATTGTCATCAGTCCATGGAGTTGTCTTAAAGTGCATGTAACCCCTGACAATGGACTTCTCTTATGTGTTCCCTTTTGGTCTGGAAAGAACAACTCCATTCAAAACATTTATTAACCCCTGCAGTGGGGCTAGCCCCAGCACCGCAAGGTTTAACTGCTCGGATTTTGCCTAGGGTAGAAAAAAAGGTTATGCTCGCCTGAACCTCCAAGCCGGCCAGCTGTCACAGTGCTCCCTACCTAGGTGTCCAATGCACTGTGTGTTGGATGTGATGACTCGAGGATCCTTAGGCCACTGCAGCCAAGGGGGATCGATGCTGGAAGGACTGGTCTAAGAGGCGGCTGGCCCGGAGGATCAAGTGAGTATATAAGTATAGAAGTAAAACGAGCATTTAACCCTTGCAGTGCTGGTGCAGCCCCACTGTGAGGGTTAATAAAAGTTTTAAGTGGAGTTCTGCTTTAAATATACCTTTGAAATTGTTTTATTATAGCCGTTCGATAAGTGAGAAAAAACTACCTATTGATTCTGCCAGACCTCTAGTGAGCTGATAACGTCCTGTGCTCTCTTCCTCTGCTGATTGTTATCACTTGGCAATCCTCCTTATGTTCTCTTTGGGATAACAGAACACCTCTCCCTCTATGTTATGAAGATGAGGAGAGCGAGAGGTGTTCTGTATCCCTAATAGGCTTCCTGTTGTACCGTGACAACAGTGCTCCTCCAAATACACAGTGAGTGAACGTTGCCACCCTAGGACAGGAAGTGTGTTACTGGCAGGACCATCAGGTGAGAAGAAAGGAAGGAAAGCCAGAATAAAGAAAAGGAATGCTACCACTACGGTTAAGGGTGAGTGAGCGGCAATATAGTGCAACTTTGTTCTTGGATTTAGATTCAATTTAAAGCATAGATGAACCCAATAACAGACATGTAATGTTTTGCAGATCACTCGCTCATAGATGTGGTGGCTGCATTTGTTTTCCTTTTCTCAGGCTAAGTACATGTTCTGCAAGGAAAGAAAAATACCTGTTGATCCATCCTTGTTACTGGAACCGGTGACTCCATCGGTTGTTACTGGAACAGGTGTCCCCATTGGTTGTCAACAGAAGGGGTGTCCTTATTGGTTGTGAACTGGTGTCCCCATTGGTTGTTTTTATTGGTTGTTACTGGAACATATATCTTTATTGGTTGTTACCGAAACAGGTGTCCCCAATGGTTGTCTATAGATTTTGTGTCCTTATTGGTAGTCACCGGAACAGGTGTCACCATTAGTTGTTATCAGAACAGGCGTCCCCGTTGGTTGTTACAGAAACAAGTGTCCCTATTGGTTGTTTACAGACGGGGTCTCCTCATTGGTTGTTCTCAGAACAGGTGTTCTCATTAGGGATGCACCAATAGAGGTTATACGGTATCGAGTACTGATAAAACATTTTCGGTACTCGTCGATACCGAATTCCAATACATGAAGCCCCATTAAGGAAGCCAGACGGCATGTAATAATTCGCCGCCTAGCTTTCTGATTAGCTGGGAAGCCGGCTCCATGCTCCCTCGACACCAGGTGACGAGGAAGCATGGAGAGGGCTTCCTGGCCAATCCGGAAGCCGGGGGGGGGGGTGAGTTATTACCTGCCCCCCATCTTACTGATTGGCTAGGAAGCTGGCTCCATGTTCCCTGGTGACGAGGGAGCATGGATCTGACTTGCTTGCCAATCAGGAAGCTGGGTGGCGTGTAGTGACTCACCACCTGGCTTCCTGATACGGCCATTTCCGGTATCGGGATAAATATCAAGAGCATTTGGGTAAGTACAAGTACTCGCCCAAATACTCGGTATCTGCACCGATACCGATACTTGTATTGGATGCAGCCCTAGTTCTCATTGGTTGTACTGGAACTGGTTGTCAACAGATTGTCTTTATTGGTAGTCACCAGAACAGTTGACCCATTGGTTGTCACCTAAACAGATGTCCCCGAACCAGATTTTTTTTTGGTTGTTACTGGAACAGGTGTCCCCATTGGAAGACTTCCTCACACGTGCTGTTTTCACTAACAATTATAAAATTACATATTACTTTGTGTCCCAGTGACAAAGGTTACTGGGGACAAATCGGGTGAATCTCCCAAGCGGAGACTGCAATGAAAACCTTACAGAGCTTCTGCCCCTTCCACAAAAGGGGGATTGTGGGGGGATATTATTTATAGTTTAAAGAACACACCTTGAGTGAAATACAAACAGCAGTAATGTGCGAGTATGCAGAGCATATTACTACATTATGGCCGATGAACCTTGAAAACAATCCTCTCCAGCGCTGTGCTATCAGCTTTCCCTTCCGTTGCCGCCACTTCTATCTTCATCTGGTCTTCCTATGGGTTTGGAGTCTACGGCTGCTTAAATTGCCAGGCCAGTATGACGTAACTGCATGCGTGTTCCTTCATCTCGGCATGCCAGGTCTGTTCAGTGAGCTGCGCATGCGTGGCTCAGTGCACAGGAAATAAAAATTGCTGACAGATAGCTAGAAGTGTGTGGGAAGGCTAACGAGTTAGCCTGGATTTGTGGGAGGAGTCCGCGCCCTCCTACCCTACTTAAACAGTACCATCAGGATTGTTCGGGATGGATTGTTTCTGCATAACCCTCCCACCCATCCCTTAGGGGCATACAGTCAATCTTCACACGCACTCACTCACTCAGAGTATGCCCCCTTATTGGCATTACTGTCCACTCGGACCAAGGCACACCTCAGGTCGGTATTTAGTTGTAGCTAGTGGCAATCATGCATGAGGTGGAGCGGACTCTTTTACACAAATATATATATATTTGCAGACAAATTGTGTCTCAAAGCAAGCAGCTCTGCTTCCTGATTCTTTAGCTATACCAGAGAACTCTGGGAAACCTTTGTCATGTATTAAAGTGCAACCGAATCCAAAACTAGTGTTGGTTTAGGTTGAGGGCTAGTAAGGGGGATGGCATTATTGCTATATACATAAACTGAACGTTTCCTTTCTGCAAGCATTGTAGTGTCACTCAATTTGTTGCATGCCTTCTTTCTACAAAATAAACAGCACTGATAATAATATGCAAATGTTGACTTTTGTTTAAAGTCAGCAGCTAAGCTCCCCCTAACTGCTGTCATATGCAGAAAGCAGTGCCACATGAACTGTAATTCGCTGTGTTGTTTATATTGTGAACAGTTTATGTCCGGTAGTGTTTTCATTGGTAATAAAACTGGTTTTGGTAAGGTACCCACATATATTAGGGAATGTTCACTTGGTCCAACATTTGTGGTCAGATAAGGGTATGGTTATAGGCCCATCCATGACCCATGAATCGGTGAGAAAATCCACACTATAAACTTAGCCATGGGCATTCTTGGCCAAGGGGCTTCAGATCCTTGGCCAAGAATGCCCATGGCTAAGTTTGTAGGTTGGATTCTCTCACCCATTCAATATTGGTTCCCCTGAGTCGGCACCAGTAGCCCCACCACCCTATACACTTAGCCATGGGCTTTCGTGGCCAAGGGGCTTCAGATCCTTGGCCAAGAATGCCCATGGCTAAGTTTATAGGTTGGAGTTAGCATGGGTAGCCTCACCACCTCCTTCTTCATATGCCCAAACATGCAAGATTGCCTGATTCCAGTTTCTAAAAATTTGTTAGATCCTTTGAAATCCAGATCATCAATGCAAGGCTAGCATAGCAATGTAGGCAGCTTCACTCTGAGTTTAGGCCTGCTTCATATCAAGATAGATGGCTTACAAAGCTTACACCCTCCTGATTTAGACAGATCATAAACTGTCCATGACATCAAGCAGAAAGCTCTTGTGTATGTTCTTAATGACCTTACACTGTACTCTTCCTACATCCTATTAACAAGTGGTGCGGTCTGTGAAATGTTGACATCTTCTGATAGCTCATCTCCCTAGTAATGAGTGATGGAGCAAGGAGCTATCACTGTAATACTTGTGAGACCTGAGAGCCATCAACAGCTGGTCTTTACACATTCCTCATCGTTCTCCTACACAATGCTTTGATCATGGTCTTGCCACTCAACCATTATGTACCGTAGATCTATTCACTAAAGCAGTGATGGAAAGGAAAGTGTAGTAATCCGTGTAGGCAATCAGAAGTTGCCATATCTTACCTGTGCTGGCTGGTAATCTGATATCTACCTCACCTGTATGGTCTGTATGATGAACTTTAAAGCTGAACTCCAGGATAAGCAAACATTGCCTAAATCAAAGAGTCTTGTGTATTCTTCCTTGAACCTCAGAGAGCTTTGTGTATTTCTTCCAGATTTGTGCAGTAATCCAGCGTGACACTTGGAGCTTCCTGTAATAAAGACTAGTCAATGTTGCTCTGTCTCCTTGTGCAGGGTAACTGGCTTGTCTCTGCCCCCTCCTGTAATAAAGACCGGTCATTGTTGCTCTCTCTCCTTGCACAGGGTGACTGTAGTGGGTGAAGCCTGATGGGTCCCTTCCACAATTCTGCTCTCTTTACTGGCTATGTGCAGAACAGCGATGATATCAGCACTAATTTTATAAGGTAATATCGGTAGGGATACACCGATACCGGGTTTTCGGTATCGAGTACGTGTACTGATAAATTATTTTTTTTTGGTACTCGCCGATACCGGATACTGATACTGGGAGTCCCATTAAGGAAGCCTGGCGGCATGTAAGGACTCGCCACCTGGCTTCCTGATAAGCCGGGCGGCATGTTAAGACTCAACCCCTGGCTTCCGAATTAGCAGGCAAGCCGTCTCCCTGCTCCCTCATCACCAGGTGACGAGGGAGCGTGGAGCCGGCTTTCTGGCCAATCAGGAACCCGGGGGGCAGGTAATGACTCGCTGCCCGGCTTCC